TGAAATCAGACAGACCTGGGTCTGAAGCCCATCTCTGTCCTTTCTCTGTTGCTATTGGTCCTTCCTGGTCCTCGCTTTCTTCATATGTGAAGTGGGTGGTCACTCTTCTCGGGGCGGTGAAGGCTACATGAAGTAGTGATGGTGACTACGTTCCTGGTACAGTGCAGGCACTCCGCGAATGCGGACCCCGTCTTTCCTCTCCTGGTCTGTGTTTCTGTGACATGGGAGTGCTTACCATGCCTCCCCCAGGGAAGGGTGTGTGTAGATGAAGTGGGGTCCTCTGTAGAAAGCCCTTAAACCCTGGGACAGCAGCATCAGTGATCAGAGTGGCCATTGACGGTGACCGAGCTGAGCTAGCTCAGCCAACCCCCCTGTATTGGACAGGAATGCATTTAACAGGTCGATGACACCAGTGGAGCCCGGATTGTTTCTGCCTCGCTACCCCATGGCTTCAGCATGACTGCCACAGCTTGAGACACAGCAACTACATTCAAGGCAAGAAGGAGGGGGGAGTTGAAGCCATGTGATCCCGCAAGTCAGTGAGGCAACTCCCCTACCTCCCAGCCCCAGCAGGTCATCTGTGTAGGCTCCTTGACCAAGACTGAATCGTGTGGCCGGGGCGGGGGCAGTGGGATTAGGACGGTGATGGCTGGTTACATTTGGCACAGTAGCCCACTCAGAACTGAGACCTTGGTAGCCAAGAGGGGAGAGGGGCAGTCGGCCTTTCCACAGTGAAAGAAGTGCCCGCCCCCCAGTTTGGGGAAGGGGGCTGTGGACTCTGGATGAAGGGCAGATCTAGGAGCAGCTCTTTTGGGGATTACGTTTTGGGCTACTTCAAGGCTTTTTGCTTGTCCTTCCTCATGTAGTGGGGACAGGAATGAGGCATCTCCCCTCCTCTCAGTGACAGAGGGGCTTTGGGATATGGTAGCTTTGATCTTGGTGGCACTGCCTTGAAGGAGGTGGACCAGGGTAGTGGGAGAACAGAAATTGTGTTCATGTGATTGGTAAGACAGAAAGGCAGTCCTTTTTCTATGGGTAATTGTTTGGGCCTTTAGGAAAAACCTCACGTGGATGAGTCAGATCGGCGGCACCTGGTGTAGGGCCTGGCTCCGCCCCGAGGTTACCCAGGTGCTGTGGTCTGCCCTCTCCTGCTGGTTGTTGGTGCCGTGGAGACACTCGTATGTGCAACCTTCCTCAGCTTTTGGTAGGCTGTGGTAAGAGCAGGGGGTATTAGGGAGGTTGTTGATAGGTTGCAGTAGTCTGAATCAGCACGAACTAGTGGGGTGGTGTTTTGAACAGATGAAGGAATTTACCTTTGCTTAATTGGATTAAATCAGATTTATCAGTGGACTTTCATGCCGGTTTCTTTTGCCAACAAATATTTTTGGTCTGGCTGTCCAGGTCTTCTGTTACTGGCCATGTGGCCTTGCACCGGTTAGTTAATTCTTCTGCCACTCCGTGCCCCATCCGCATGTCCTCATCTGTAAAATGAGAATATTGCTAAAAATCTCCAAAGTTGGTATGAGGATTAAAAGGTAAAAATGGCTGATACGAATGTAGTAGGTGTAATGTGTACTCAGTGTTTAAAATAACCTGTAGTTCTTTGAATGTGTTGTAGATGCTTTGTGAACACATTATTTTTTATTCTCTTTATGAATTACGCTATTCATAAACCATAAACCATAAACCATAGCAGAAGGTTTGAGATAAGAGTAAGGAGGCCTGACATTTCTTTTGTGGCCTGTTATTAGCTGTTTAACCTTGAACATGTTACTCAGTCCCTTGGTAACCCATTTTCTTATTTGTGAATTGGAATATTAGTGTCTGTCTCTGGGACCACAAGTGTTTGTTTTATTAAGTTGGCAAATAGATCGGAAAATGCTCGTGAAAAGTGCTATGCAAATTTAAGGTAATAAGTTTTTCTAGCTTCTTTCCACTGAAACATTTTAGCAATCCTTTTGTATATTAACTTTTTTATGCTAATATCCCTGCTTTTTAAAAATTTGTTAAAAGGATTTTATTTATTCATTTTTAGAGAGGAAGGGGAAGGAGGGAGAAAGACAGGGAGAGAAACAGCTATCAGTTGCCTCTCTCACACCTCCGCCCGGGGACCCGGCCCGCAACCCAGGCCTGTGCCCTGACTGGGAATCCAATCAGCGACCTTGCAGTTAGAGAGCCAGCAGTCAATCCACCGAGCCACACCAGCCAGGGCTGTTTTTTAAATCTTGTTTAAGAAACTTTTCCCAGTCCCAAAGTCCTAAAGGAATTCTTCTGTATCATTTGTTGAGACTTGAATTTTGCTCTTCACATTGGATCTGCCATCTGCCTGGAAGCAGCTGTGGTCTGTGGTGTGTGAGGGAAGGGGCCATGGGGGCCGTCTTCTCGCATGGCCGAGCTTCAGCCCTGGTCGTGGACGTGGCTGGCTCTCTGCCGCCCTAGCCTGCGACACCGCTGCTGTTACACGTCTTGGTTTCGGATCTGTTTCTGGGCTATCTTTGATCCCCAAACTCCACTTGTAGTGACCTGCTCTAAGGAGCAGCCCAGGGCTCGAGCAGGTGTGTGGCTGAGGCAGTGTTCCCGGAGCGGCGCTGGCGGTGCGGGGCGGGGAGCACCCCCGGGGTCCCCGCAGGGGGTTGGTGTCTGCACCGCCACAGGGGTACTCGGCAGCCGACAAAAACATGTTTACCAATATGGAAGGGTGCTGACAGCACAGCGCGGCGGAAGAAATAGGAAGTTAAAAGTACAGTGCGTACAGCCTGGCCCTGTGTTTATGAAAAGTTAACGTGCGAGTGAAGAAAAACAACCCCTTCAGTGCCCTTCGACCTGGCTTTGCCCCGGGCCAGGCCGGGGGGTCTGCTCTGGCAGGCCCTCCTGGCCCTGCCCAGTCCCACTCACAACCTCGCAGCTGTATTCGACACCCCCCGGGTCTTCCCACTGCTTTCTCATCTGCTCCCTGCTTTTCTGCTCATGCTCGTCCTCTCTTCGGGGCTCCCGCCTCCTCTGCACGTTGATGTCGGTGTCCTTGGGCCCCTGGTCGGGTCCCCGGGCCTCCTCCCCTTCTCTCCTTTCTCCATGAGGGACTGCCCTGAGGCATCTCCCCGGTTAAACTTTCTCTTATCCCCCTCGACTGTGTGTCCGCAGCTTGCTCTCCACTCAGGTCGCCGGTGTCCTCAAGGTCCTCAGAGCCAGGATGTCCAGAACGAAGCCGACTCCTCCCCCTGGAGGCCCCACGGAGCCATCCTCGGTCTCTCGCCTGCCTCCTTGCCTCTGTCAGTGGTGGGTTGTCTTCCCCAACACGAAGGCCTGTGTCATGTCCCCTTCCTCTCAGGTGCTCATCGTTGCTGGCTGCCCTTTTGTAAGAGCTTCTGGAGTGTTCTTCCTGCCTCCAGGTTTCACCCCCTCCCTCTTTGCTCCGCACTGCAGCCAAAATCATCTTTCTGAAGTGCACGTCGGAGACACCACCCCTTGACCTGTGACTCACAGGCCTGGCTGTCAGTGACCTGGGCCTGCCCCCCACCCTTCTGGCCCTCTTGGGCTCTCTGCAGCCTCAGGTGGTTTCACGCCCTCCGCCTGGTCTGCTCAGACCCCTGCTCACCTTCTGAGACCTGCTCTGTGATGCCTTCCCTCTCGGAGAGGTGGGGCGATTGCTCCCTCCCTGGTGCCCGTGCCCTCCGCCCTCCCCTGCTCTGCGCTGTCCCTGTAGTCCTCAGAGCCAGTGCTGGGGCTGTGGCGGCACTAAAGGGGACTGAGGAGGGAAGGGGCTTCTATTGCCTTTCCAGAGAGGGGCATCCTCACCCTGTGGCTGGGCCCACACAGCCCCTTGGAGACAGGGCCTTATGGGCGGGTGGGTTTGACCAGGGCTCACAGGGCCTGCTTTCGCCTTTCTCTGCCCCCTTGTTGACACCTCTTTTCAGGGCATTTCTAGAGCTGCCTTCCTCAGGTCTTCGTTCCGGACCTCCCTCTGCAGCAGGTGACTCGGCGGTCTCTCTTGTGGCTGGGCCCTCGTCTGTTTGGGCAGTGGGTGGCTGTGGCACCGAGGGCCACGCTTAGGCTCAGGCTGAGCACTCGGGTGCCTTTCACCCTGGAGTCCAGCTGGGGGACTTGCTTCCTTTCTGGAGGTTTGCCAGTGCACACGCTCTCACTTGCTAACTGTTATTCTCAGTGCCTGCGTGTGTTGCAACTCTGCTCTTTCTTGTCCCTGGTGGTAGTAAAGGTGCCCTCTTTGACAGAGTTGGCCCCCTTGTTTGTGCAAAGAATGTGATAGGTCGCCTCTGAGAGCCTGGCCGCCCGGCGTGCCCTGAGTGAGCCGCGCTGGAGATCTGGGCATCTGACTCCGGGTCTCTGCTCGCGGGCTGTAAGGAGGAGGCTTGCCAGCCAAGCAGTGTTTCCTGTGGGTGCTGGTTACAGGCTGCCTGATGCAAAACATAGCACATTATTCAGATGGGTTTTTTTCTTGACCACTTTAGTTCATGGCTTTGACTGAGTGTCTAAAAATATTCTGCAACACATCTATAGTATTCATGAGCAGTGAATCAGAAGAAATGCAGTTTCTGAGAAAGCTTCAAAGAAATGCTGCCTTTATCTCTTCTCCAGCCTTTTCCGCTGAAACCCACCAGTCTTTTTCTGGGCGTGCGTGTTCTATAAATAGAACAGCAGCTCTCCTTGGGTAGCCCACGATCAGCTGTCATCCGCTTTACGAAAGATGTGTGTGTGTGTGTGTGTGGTGGATTGTGTTTTAATTTTGCTTTTTTTATGTGTGACATGTGGAGCAGGAGACTCGAGGGAAAGCGCTCTAGCATTTATCCTTTAAGGATAACTTAGAACTTTTCTGGGTCTGTGCTGGTTGGTTTTGTCTTTTTTTTTTTTTTTAATTTGCATTTGGGGAAGAGATGGAAGCGGTTCCTTCCCCTGCAGAGGTAAGGAAGACACGTGGGTGAGGAGATGTGCCTGCGTGGGTGAGGAGAGGCACCTGCGCCTGAGAGCGGGTTCTGTGGGCCCAGAAGGAAGGCTCTCCCGCAGAGGGGTGCAGGCGCCCGGGGCCCTGTGCTGCGGTGCGCAGGCCGGCCACCCCGGGTCTTTGAAGAGCGCGCTGAGATGAGCACCGCCATGTGCACCTGGGTCGGCAGAGGAGGCTGGGAAACAGCCCGGGAGTTTCTCCCGAGTACAGACCCGTTTCTCTCGGGGGCTCCGGGGATCGGCCTGGGTCTGGTTCAGCAGGTGTCCCCACACTTTGGAAGAGCCAGGCCTTTGCTCAGTAAGGATGCAGGTTTCAGGCTCTGTGACTGTAGTTGGTGTGTGTTTTCTCTTGACCACTGGGTGATGTCGTGTTTCTCTCTTCTGGCGCCACTACTTGGGAGAGCAGGTGGGCAACCTCCTCACGCGTGAAGGTGCAGATGTACATCACTGAGTGAGTAGGTGGGGCCCTCAGGAGTTTTTTCCTGGGTCTGTTCTCTCGGGGGTCGGAGAGCACTGCTGTTTGTGCTGCTAGGCTGGCCGCACAGCGCAGCTTCCATTACCCCTGGCCTGTGGTGGGAGCCTGCCTGTGCTGAGGGGGCTCATAGAGGGGTGTTGAGTCAGGGTTGGAGGAGGAGCATGCTGTCTGCGTTCCCAGGGCCCCCTGGACTGCCGTGACGTTGAGGCAGGGGCTCTGTTGCACAGCCAGCTGTGGGTGGTATGTGGGGGGCAGGGGCTTTCTTGGGCACCCTTCTGCGGGGGCCAGAAACAACACTGCATCCTGAGTTGCGCTCCCTCCCTGGTGAGGAAGGACCAGATGACCGGTGTCCTGCCCTTGCCTTCTGGTGCATTTGGGTGGTGGGAGGTTTCTGTGTCTGGTTTTGTCTCGTGTCATCTCAAGTGGCCACTGATACCCAAGTGCTTCGTATAGATACTTTGAAAAAAAGTCACTTAAAGTGAAAAGCCTATATGGGATTGGATAACTAAATGGAAGTGTCTCTGAACCAATATTCCCATCCTTTAACAGAATTTTTATACATTCTACCTCCATTCTGTGATGAGACGCTGTGTATAACGGATGTTTCTGTTGGGTGGGGTAAAACATACCCTGCAGATGCTGAGAGCCGGCTTTTGTTTCATGCATCTTGTTCGTTAGTTTTGACTGTGTTAGTGGCTCTGAGTGGCTCCACGTGTCAATGACCAAGCTGTGTTCCTGGAGCATGTAACTTTGAGGTGGTCTGCGGGGCGCCCTCGGCCCGTTAGGCGGCCAGCACACGGGATGCAATGTGAGGGGAGACAGCTCCAGGAGAGGCCATGCCCCACTCTTCCATTGAGATGAGATGAGTGGACAGCTGTCTACCCCTTGATTCTCTTGCCAGAACTTCTGTTTTGTGGTGGACTGATCAGATTTACAGGATGAGATGAGTTTTGGTGGCTGTGGCCATCCCCTTCTCTCTCACAGTGTGGACAGACGCGGGTCCCCGGCCTGTGAATAGGGTGAGGGCCGAGTGGGGTGCAGGCCTGGAGCTGTGCGGAACCCCGCAGCAACCTGCGTTGACAGTTTTGGCATTGGGATCCTGAGAAATGGCAGGAGGCCTGAGAACATGGAGACGGGGCCAAGAATAGCTGAAAAATACCAAATGCTGAAGTTGGAGAATGTGCTGGCCCCGGGCCGCTTGCTGTGGTCCTTCTAGCCTGTCCCTTTCTGTTGCTCCCCTGGGCATCCAGGGCACACCTTGGCCTCCGAAGCCCCCGCCGCGCAGGCATGCCATCGCCCCGCAGAGAATTGTGTTAGCCCTCCCCCGGCAGTGTGCTCGGCCTGTCCACGGGTCAAGGTCTGGGGAGAGTGTGAGAAATATTTCTGCTAGGCTGTCACCAGGGAGAGACGCGAACGCACCAGACAGGCAGTGTGCGGTTTGGGTGGACGAGCGCAGGGGTCTGTGGAAACCTGTGCTCATGAGTTCGTTTCTGTGCTTTCAGACCGTCATCAAGGAGGGGATGCTGACCAAACAGAACAGTTCCTTCCAGAGGTCCAAGAGGAGGTACTTCAAGCTGCGAGGGCGAACGCTGTACTATGCAAAGACCTCGAAGGTGAGGCGCAGTGCTGGAAACGTCCTGGGAGGGGACGTCTGGGGTCCCGGGGCCCCGCAGGGGAGATTTGGGCGCTGGGTCCTCATCCGGGGGGAGCCTTTGATCCTTAAAGCTGTTTTTTTCTAGAGAGTTTCCCAGTACTCCAGGGTGCTAGGTTTTATCTGTCTCAAGGCACATTTTAGTGCTTATAAACATTTACTTTTATTCATTTTTTAAATGTGGTATGTCACCAGTGAGAAAGGAGAGAATGTCCCAGAAATAGCCATATTATATAGCTGGATATCTTTCTTGTGGAAAGATCAGGGGTTACAGGCTTATACATCTCTCATTACGGAGGACAGTGTCTTTTTAAAAACCATTTTATTGAGGTTTAATTGGCATACAAAAAGCTATAGCTATTTAATATATATAACCTGATGAGTTTGGAGATAAGTACACACCTGTGAAACTAATGAAAAGTATTTTCGAAAACTGGACTTATTGATGTGTGAACAGCCGTTCTTCACCACTGGGCTTTCTGGCCGGGACCCTTCCTTCTGGGTGCCATCTTGCCCGAGAGTTGGAAGCTGGAATCACCGGGCGCACGTTTGTGAAAGAGGAGGGAGGAGTCCGTGCCTTCGTGGGAGGCACGGAGTTACCGCCCTGTTTAAACGAACGTGGCCTTCCACATCTCAGACACCTGTGTGCTTGCAAAGCTAGTTTTCAGTATTCTGAACACCAGTATTTTTGTATCAGTGTTGCTGTCAATACTTTTATTTTGGTGTTAAGAAAAATCTGGAATGTGAATCATTTGCATTTTGAGATGTATCCCTAGAGAGTTAGTGGGTTAAAATTTGAAACTGAACAGAGCAACTTGTTTAGAAAGGGCTGTGACCATATTTCTCACTTAAAAAAACACAAACCCTTATAGTTATTTTAGTTCTGTGGGGGTGGGGGAGGTTACTTAAAAGGCTGAGTCTCTTTTCTGAGTTATTAGTGTTTCCTCCAGCGGTTCCCTGTGGAGTCCTCCCAGAAGGCCCAGGAAGGTTAACAGGAGCAGGGGAGTGTGAGGGGCGACTTGAGGGGAGCGGAGGGGAAACGGGGGGTGTTCCCAGGCCCGATTTCCAGCCCTTCCTCCGGAGCCTGTCTCTCTCCAGGACTAGGTTCCTTCACTTTGCTCCCTCCTTTTCTTTCACAGCCAGATTTCTTCTCTGTGGATTGGCCTCCCTTCCCCTAAAATCATTTATCTTAGTGGGCACCTTTCTCCCAAATGTGCTTCCTGGAGAAGCTGAAGCCAGGACAGAGGGTCTTCAGTCCCGACCCCTGTTCTTCCAGGTGGACCTCACCTGAGGGCATAGTTCACATTTAAAAGTGAGACACTGGTATTGCAGGAAATAAGTATAGAATCGCAGTATTATTGTCATTATTATTTTCTCTACCAGTGCAATCACTCATGACCTCCTGGGTGAAAAGAAATCCCAGAGCCCCACCTGGGGCTGGATGGGGGGTGCAGCCCGCGTTTGTTTTGTCCCCGAGCCTCCACGTCCGGGGCCTGGGCCTCTGTGGGCGCTTGCCTGCCTGGGGTTGAGGACAGCGGTGAGCAGCACTGGGCCAGGGCCGGGGAACGTGTCCGCCCGGGGGGCTCCGGAGCCTCACGCTGGCCGCGGCCCCTGTGTCTCTCCCCAGTCGATCATATTCGATGAGGTGGACCTGACAGATGCCAGCGTGGCCGAATCCAGCACCAAAAACGTCAACAACAGCTTTACGGTAAGACTCTGGGTGCTCACTTTTCGTGGTTCTTCACCATGTCTGGTTTCCCTTTTTAATTTGAACAAGCGTGTGAGCAGTTCAGACTTTTTTGTCCTTTTTGCTCTGATGGAAATGATTCCTGGTAGATGATGAATTTAATGCTGGAAGTAATACTGTGGTTGGAGAATAACTGAGAATTTGGCACATGCACACACAAAAAGAACAGGAGGGTCCAAATGAAATGTATTAACATATTGTTTACATTTCTCTAACAGTCTTTCACAGAGGTTTGTTTTTCATGATTTTAGTACAGAATTTGGAAAATACAGAAAAGTATGTTGAAGCAATTAAAAAATAGCCATAATTAGGCTACCTCAAAACATATAATTAATGTTTTGATATATTTCTTTTCTTTTTTACTTTTAAACTGGGCGCACCCCCATTTATAGAAGCTTTGTTATATTTTCTGCAGAAGTTCTAAGTGCATACAATTATGTGACCTCACTACTCAGAGGCAGCAGCTACGCACTTCAGGGCATTTCTGTATTTCTGAATAACTGTCTCTTCACCCACATCGACCATGAGATCATGGTGATCCTTTCGTGTTTACATTTTTTTTCCCTCTTGACAATTTATGGTGATCATTTTCCCATGTTGACTGATCTGAATGTCCATCATATTTTTTAATGGCTATATAGCATTTGTCTTATGACTTTATGATTTTGGCTTCAGGGGCTAACTTTAGAACCTACCTATGTAAGGTATGACTCCAGTATTAGGAATGGAATATTTAAAAAATTGTTTTCTTTATATTATTCAGCTATCTCATCTAGGAATAAAATATAATCCCTGTTTTAAAAAATTCTTTTATAACAGTCAAGGTGGGTAATTTTCTTCATGTTTAGGATCTGACATTTTGGGTTAGTGTTAGTTTCAGATACTTTCAGTTTTTGTTTTATTTACTTACTGATGGTTTGATTATTGGTGTTGCTGATACTAATAGGATTTCCCTTCCCCATTTAAATTTCTACTTTGTGTTGATGTAACTAACTGCTCTTGGTTTTGCTTCGTGGCTTCTTAAATTAGCTTTTCCTGATGGTTTCTTTTATTTTACTCCTCATTTTACGTGGAATATTATCAACTTTTTCTCCATGAATTTTATTGTTTTTATAGTGGCCGGGAGAGACGCGCAAATGATTATTCTTTGATTTGTGGCTTTTAGTGTTTTTAATAATAAGAATGGGTGTTGAATTTCATGGGAGTATTTTGAGCATTAACTTAGATGACCAGTTTGGTTTTAGGTATTTGTATTTTGTATTTAGAATTTTCTGGTCCGTGTGTGGTTTTCTTTGGTGTGGAGAAGGAGCCTTGGTTGTGTTTTGATTTCAGTTAAAATAGCCCCATAAAATTCATTTAGTAACTTGTTATATGATTTTGTATGTCCTAGAACACTTTAGAATTGTTTGTTTTGGAAAGTTTGAGAGAACTTACCTTAAATTATCTGTCACAAAGACTTTTGGGGGAGGTAAGTCTATGGATAAGCCTGAAAGATTAATTTTTGTTTTTTTATTTGAGCTTTTTTACTTTCTGAGTCTGTTTTTGTAATTTACTTTCCCACTTGTTTCACACCTTCCAACTCAGCAGCATGTAGTATTTGCACTTTAAACATCGGTGTCTCTGTGTAGACCCGCCTTTGTTTGGATTTCTAATTTTATTTGTTTAGCTTTATTTTTCTTGTCAAACTTCTTAAGCTCCCCCTTTAAAAAAAAAGAGAGAGAAAACCAGTTCTTGGATTATTGATCGATCCCATTTATTTGTTACTAATTCAGTTTATGCTTTATATTTATTGTCATTTTTCTGTTTTTTTCACAACTTTTCTTTTTAAAGATTGTATTTATTTCCTTTTAGAGAGAAGGGAAGGGAGGGAGAAAGAGAGGGAGAGAAACATCTGTGTGTGGTTGCCTCTCACGCATCCCCTACAGGGACCTGGCCCGCAACCCAGGCCTGTGCCCCGACTGGGAATCAAATTGGTGGGCCTTTGGTTCGCAGGCTGGTGCTCAATCCACTGAGCCACACCAGCCAGAGCCCACAAGATACATTTTATAAAATAGTTTTCAACTTTCTTTAAGAATGAGCTTTTTCTCATATCTTATAATATCCTTCAAAATCTTATCTATTTATATTACATAGCATTCCATCATATAACTGTGTAAGTTTATGTATTGAGTCTCTACATTAAACATTTGATTTTTTCCTATCATAAATAATATTGTAATATATACTTGCACACAGATGCTTTTGTGCATTTCTGAGTATTTCTATAGTATAAATTCTTAGAAATGGGATTTTATTTGAGGTAGAAAGTAGAAACTTTTAAAGGGCTTTTGAAAAGTAAGTGAGGTACAGATACATGTTACACCTGGGATGAGCCTTGAAACCATTATGCTGAGTGAACGAAGACAGGCGCAGATGTCCACTTAGTTGGTGATTGCATTTATCCGAAATGTTCACAATAGGCAAATCTGTAAAGACAGGAAGTAGATTAGTGGTTTCGAGGGGCTGCGAAGGAAGAAGGCGTGCCTGCTAAACTGTGCAGGGTTTTATTTTTGTTGGCTTTTTTTTTTGAGGGTGACAAAACGTTCTAAAATTAGATATGGGTGATGGTTGTACAACTTTGTGAATGTGCTGAAAACCGCTGAATTGTACACTTTAAAAGGGTGAACTGTATAGGAATTCTGCCTCAGTAAAAATATGGAGAAACAGCGTGGTCCTTCGGGACTGCACAGGTCACTGTGGGGCCTTGTCAGCCCGGCCTGAGAGCGGCCCCGACTTGGGTCTGGACTCTGCGGGAAGACGAGTTCCGAGGGCCCGGCTCGCGGCTCCCGGCTTCAGGCGGAGGGCCTGTTCTGTGCTGGAGCAGCCTCTGCGCCTCCGGTCCGCTCGCTGGCCCTGGATGGTGCCCAGCCCTGGGGCAGAGGCGCCGATTCTTCCCCGCTTGTCTTCTGTTTTGCCAGCGCTCTAAAACCACCGTTTCATCTGGGGGTGTGGTGCAAGGACAACGGAAAGATGGATGCTGAGGCTCTCCGGAAACATCCGAGATGAGGAGGCCCCTTGCCTGAGTAGTCTGCGATGGCGTCCGGGGTGGGAGATGAGTGGAGAGTGTCTGGGGCCCCCTGTCCTCCACCCCATCATGCTTCTGTAGAGTCGGGAAGCTTCGGACCCTGGGGCTGCCGGTGATACAAATGTTTTCTTTGCTTAAAATTCACACTTAACGATCTGTCCCATTTCTCTCCCCCTGAGACATTTACCGTCTGACCTCTGAACCTGTCACCACACAGCCAACTGCAGGAGTCTCGGTGTAGGCGGCTCCTTCTGCAGGCAGGCCTGCCATGCCCTCCTGGAAGGCGGCGCCCTGCTCAGGGAGCGAGTGCAGAATGAATGAATGAATTTGCCCAGAAGCTTCTGCACTCCCTGGAATATCTCATTTGGTTTTCCAGCTATTCCTTCAGTGATTTCCAAACTCTGCAACTTCTACTAAAATTGCATGCCTGATACAAACAGCCAGTCAGTGGAAGATGCTATTACCATGAATCAGCCAACAGATGGGAACCCTTTATAGCTGTAGAAGCACGAGTACATTTGCTCCACATTAGAAGAGACTCCATTTTTTTCCCCCTCCAAAATGGCCAGAGAACTGTGCCATGAAGTAAGGAGCCTCGGGACAAGAAACTTCCCAGGGAAATAGACAGACAGGTGGGCGGAGCTCCTTGGGGGAGAGGAGAGGTTCTGCGGCAGGCTTGGTGGAAGAAGTGGCACGGCGGGTCTCCTGTCACTGGACGGGATCCACCCGCCTCCCCGCTCTGTAAGAACAGAGTGAGCCTTGCTGAAGCTAAAGACTCAGACTGTCTTTGGATCCCTGACAGGCGGGGCAGTGGCAGCGGTACCTTCGGGAGGTGGGAGCAGAGCTGGGAGCACAGCCGACAGTGGGGCCACCCCCTTCCCGGGCCAGAACCACAGCAGAGTGCCCAGAAAAGGGTGGCTTGCCAGCTTCATGTCCCTGCCTCTACAGTTACATGGAGTTGTATGCTTCTGATGATTACATATGTTAACACTCACCTGTGAAAACTAAAAGACTTTTGGTATGTTACTGCCAAATTGCCCTCAGAAGTATCAGCAAGGCTTTATGAAAGAAAGTGCTTTTTTTTTCCTGTCCTTTAACAAACCATGTGTTCACATTTTAGAATATCTTTGCCACCTCGATAGTTTAAAAGTGGTAATTTGTTTCTTCAGTGATCAAAGTGAGGTCAGACATTTCTCCGAGTCCACCATATCTGTGTTTCTCTCTCTCTTTTAAAATATATTTTATTGATTATGCTATTACAGTTGTCCCATTCCCCCCTTCACTCCCCTCCACCCTGTACACCCTCTCCCACCCACATTTCCCCCCCTTTAGTTCATGTCCATGTGTCATACTTATAAGTTCTTTAGCTTCTACATTTCCCATACTATTCTTACCCTCCCCCTATCTATTTTCAACCTACAATCTATGCTACTTATTCTCTGTACCTTTTTCCCCTCTCTCCTCCTCCCACTCCCCTGTTGCTAACCCTCCACGTGATCTCCATTTCTGTGGTTCTGTTCCTGTTCTAGTTGTTTGCTTAGTTTCTTTTGGTTTTGCTTTAGGTGTGGTTGTTCATAATTGTGAGTTTGCTGTCCTTTTACTATACATGTTTTTTTTTTAAATCTTCTTTTCTTAGATAAATCCCTTTAACATTTCATAAAATAAGGGCTTGATGATGATGAACTCCTTTAAGTTGACCTTATCTGAAAAGCACTTTATCTGCCCTTCCATTCTAAATGAAAGCTTTGCTGGATAGAGCAATCTGGGATATAGGTCCTTGTCTTCATGACTTGGAATACTTCTTTCCAGCCCCTTCTTGCCTGCAAGGTCTCTTTTGAGAAATCAGATGACAGTCTGATGGGAACTCCTTTGTAGGTTACTGTCCCCTTATCTCTTG